GGGCAACGGCCGGCAGTACCTGGAGCTGGAGCTGGGCCGCGGGGTGCTGCTAGTGCGGGAGCGCATGGACCGGGAGGCGCTCTGCGAGCTGAGGCCCTCCTGCTTCCTCAGCCTGGAGCTAGTCATCGAGCAGCCCATCGAGGTGCACAACGTGGAGGTGGAGGTGCTGGACATCAACGACAATGCGCCGCGCTTCCCCCGCCAGGACTACCGGCTGGACATCAGTGAGTCTGCTGTGCCCGGGGCCCGCTTCCACATTGAGAGTGCCCAGGACCCCGATGTGGGCACCAACTCTGTGCAGAGCTACCAGCTCAGCCCCAGCCACCACTTTGCCCTGGACCTCAAAGGCTTCCAGCGGGGCAGTAAACTCCTGGAGCTGGTGCTGCAGCAGCCACTGGACCGGGAACAGAGTGCCCTGCAGCAGCTGGTGCTCACCGCTGTGGATGGTGGGGACCCCCCCAAGTCTGGCACAGCCCAGATTTCTGTACGGGTTGTGGACACCAATGACAACCCACCTGCCTTCGACCGCTCCACCTACACTGTGAGCCTCCTGGAGAATGCCCCACCTGGCACGCTAGTGGTCAAACTCAATGCCTCGGACCCTGATGAGGGCTCCAATGGGGATGTGATCTACTCCTTTGGCAGCTACACCCCACAGAAGGTGAGACAGCTTTTCAGTGTGGACCCACACTCAGGGGAGGTACGGGTTAATGGTACCTTGGACTATGAAGAGGCGTCCTCCTATGAGATCTATGTGCAAGCCACTGACCAGGGCCCTGTCTCCATGGCTGGGCATTGCAAAGTGTTGGTCAACATTGTGGATGCCAATGATAATGTTCCTGAGGTGGTCCTGACTTCTCTGTACAGTCCGGTGCCAGAGGATGCAAAGGCAGGAACTGTGGTGGCCTTGATGAGTGTCACTGACCAGGACTCAGGACTGAATAAGCAGGTGAATCTGCGTATCCCCCCCGGCCTCCCCTTCACACTCAACTCCTTCAAGAACTCCTATACCCTGATCACTCAGGGCAACCTGGACCGTGAGAAGGCAGCATCCTACAACATCACAGTTACAGCTACTGACTCTGGGAGCCCCCCCCTCTCCTCCCAGAAAGTGATCCATGTGGAGATCTCTGACATCAATGACAATCCCCCATACTTTGAGGAACCTGTCTACTCAGTTTACATCCCTGAGAACAATCCCCTCGGGGTCTTGCTATGCACTGTTAAAGCCACCGACCCAGATGTCGCCGAAAATGCCTATGTATCCTATTCTCTACTAGATGGGGATATTGAAGGGCTACCTGTCACCTCCTATGTCTCCATTAAATCTGATAATGGCAACATATATGCTGTCAACTCCTTTGACTATGAGACACTAAGGGAGTTCCAAGTGGTTGTCCAGGCTCAGGATGCTGGGATCCCACCACTGAGCAGCACTGTCACTGTCCACATCTACGTCATGGATGAAAATGACCATGCTCCACAGATTCTGTATCCTACCTCAACCAACACTTCAGCAGCCCTGGAGATGATCCCACGCTCAGCAAATGCAGGATATTTGGTAACCAAAGTTATAGCCATTGATGGAGACTCGGGACAAAATGCCTGGTTGTTCTACCACCTGGTACAAACCTCGGATTCAGACCTATTCAGGGTGGAGCTCCATAGTGGGGAAATTAGGACTACTCGCAAATTGGGGGAGGAGAGCACACCTACTTACAACCTGACAGTGGAGGTGAGAGACAATGGAGAGCCAGCAATGTCCTCATCAGTGGCCATCATGGTTGCCGTGGTGGACAGAGTGTCCAAAATCATCCCTGACACAAGAAGGCACATTAAAAGTACGAGGAATTACTCAGAGATCACTCTTTATCTCATTATCGCTTTGAGCGCCATCTCCTTCGTTTTCCTTTTCACAATTATTGGGCTTACTATTATCAAGTGCTACAGATACAGTCTGTATGGGGACTCCTGCTGTGCGGGTTTCTGTGGGGTCAGAGAACGATGCCCTGCTGAAATGTACAAGCAGGCCAACAACAACATCGATACTAGGTTACCCCATGGTTTAAAAGTGCAGCCCCATTTCATTGAAGTGAGGGGCAACGGGTCTCTCACTAAGACCTACTGCTATAAGGCATGCCTAACTGCAGGATCAGGAAGTGACACTTTTATGTTTTACAATACTTGTGGCCCAACAGGAACTGGTCCCTCTGCAGTGATGACTGAGAGGCATCTGACAGGACAGAGTGGGCAGAGTGCACAAAACCTGATCATACTTAAAAATGACTCCATTACTCCTAATGAGGTGAGGCAACGCTGACAATGACCAGTGCTCTGGGCAAACATGTACTTAAGAGGAAATTCAAACTGGAAAGCTCAGATTCTTTGTATTCCCTTTTGGGTTTACTGACACACAGCTACAAAACTCGTCTCTAAGGAAATTTAATCTGTGCAATGCGTTTTGTTTTTGCATTTGTCTAGGTAAATACTGAGGCTTTCAGGGTCCATTTGGTAAGTTCAGTATATGTGTCTCTTGTCAGATATTCATATGCTAAATAGAGTATTGCCTTTTTCTCTTAGAGATCTAAAACTGCCTGCTGTCACAGAGCACTAGGGTATGTCACATGTGGTCTTACATCTTTAATGTTAAAAAAAATATTGCAGGAAAAAATAAAAAGAGATTAGCCTGGAAATCAGTAGGTTACATTATGGCAATTATAGATATTTGCAACTTGGTTGATTTCATACCTAGGCAAAGTTAGTGAGGCTAGATCATTACAATAATATACTTTGCTACTAATATGGGTGCATTTTAGTTGTCTGAAAACTGCAGGCTCTCATTTGACAATATTTGTTCTGCACAATGCTGCATTTTGCACTTTCTGGGCTGTGACCGTCCAGTGGCACCTTTCTAGAGCATTATAGCAAGTTACCATCATTATGTTGCAGTGCAACAACTTCTAACCCGCTGGGTTGCTATTGAAAAACATTTAATCCCTATGGTTTGACCAGCAGTATATTAACCTTTTCAATATTTTTCCATGGTGAGAAGTTAATGGTTGCTTTCTGTAAAGCATACGGCCAGTCTGCAGTTGGTGTGTAGGTTTTATACTCTGTAGTTTCTTCTTTACAGATATTGGAGCCAAACCCAGAAACACTCACCTGGAGAGAATAATTATGGTTCACAAAAGGAAAATTTTGCAATTACTGTGTATTGTTTGTACTCTAGGATTGTAGCAGACATACAGTCAGTTTGTATGTTAATGTGTAGTATGCATCCAGGCATGGGGAAGTGAAGGGAATAACTGTGGTGGGATAGAGAGGAGCCTGACTTGTGTGCACTTGCACAGAAATATGACTTATTTCTTTATCTATTTCTAGTTATTCACTTATGAAGATGTGAGCATCTTTTACAACTGGTATTTAAAAATATACAAATCCTAAGGATTAGCAAGACTTCCATAAAAATACTCTAATGGAAAAGTGATCTTCCACTTAAAACCGTTGCAGTGTTTTTCTATAAATCACAGTGGTGTGGTATGAGGGTTCTTTTCCCATAGTTTTTGTACCTTAAACTCACTTTGAGTATCATGTGCTGAACAAATGAATCAATACTGATGTAGTTATTAATGTCTACTATAGATGCAGTTTTCAAAAATGCCTAGAATCTGTTTGATCATAGGAGGGTATGCTCTTTAAGTGTGTATGGAGAAGAATCAGGGAGTAGGATATTTGCCTTAAATCTGAATTTCTGAAAAAATAGAGAGGTAATCTTTGAAAATGGTTTCACTTTGGATTTAAAAGCAGCAGGAAATTAGTTTAACAGATTCCTATCACATTTTAAGGAATCAGTCTATTGAATGCAATGAATTAGCAAATTTTGAAAATCCCAGTGCAGGTCAGGCAACGGCAGCTCTGCCAGACCGAACTTGGAGTACAAAAGTAGAGAGATATATAGAACAAATATGCGAATGCCTGCCTGTATGGAGTTATGACCTAGAAGAGAAATCAGTTATTCAAGTAGTTCTATATGATTTAAATAGAGATGAAATTCTGACAAATACTACTTATCACAAGTGCTTTTGTAAGGTCTTTGGTTATTAAACTGGCTTATGGCAGTATATGCCATGAAGGTGTATCAGTGTCAAGTGTATATGAGAAAATAAGTGCATGTGATGACATGTACTAATTACTAATTCTCAGCTAATTATGTACTACAAAATCATGTGTTTCCCTTGTTTGAGGCTCAACATTTACACAGTACCTACCATCCATTGCCTAGCAACATCAAAGTATACTTTTTAAAGATAATGATCTATTCATTGCTAGATCGTCAGACACCTGTGTTTTTCTTACTTGTTTATAGTGAATTCGTATCGGTTTTTAAAGACCCATGCCTTCACCTGTAAAGCATAGCAGCAAGCGTTATTGTGCCTTGCAATGATTTGCACAGTTAATCTCTGAGGTGTATGTTACTTCTGGAAAATGTGAACAAGTCTTTCTGACAGTTTTTGGAAATGATTCTTCTGTTAACTGTGCAATGAAGAGGATGGGACCAGCTGAAAGGGCTTCCTATGCATGTATACCATGCATGAAAATATGTCTTAGGTTTCACAGAGACTACTATTTTGCAAATGCCGTTTTACAGTGGGATAAAAAATATCTCACAGTTATTTGAGAATAATGTCAATAACATTTGATGCAATCAGGTCTTGGTCCTTTTCATATTTAAAAGTAAGGTCAAAGCTGTTAGTAATTACTCTGCACTAAGTTGGGGCTAGCTTCATTTGGTCATTACATGAATATATGGGAATGGAAAATGCAGTGCATTAAGGTTAGGTAGGGAATTCTTTGCATCTGTTGATGTGTTGTTTTCTATATAGTTAGTCTGATTTGTACCACTAGTGTCATAATGGTGTAATGGGAGCTTATTTCTGCAAGAGAGCCCGTGCTTCTACATTCACCTTGCTCGCCTCTATGGTCTTTCATAGGTTTATAAGAATATCTCAAACTAAGTGTGTTTTGTAAAGGAAGTGTACTAGTATGTGCACCGAAAAACTTAGAAACAGCTATTGCTGGCATGAGTCTGGTGATAAGGGTCAGAATGCAAGGTTAATGAGTATAATGCTCTAATTAACTTGATCACTACTACAGGAAGACCAGGTAGGCAATGTAGGAAATCTAACACTAAAAAAGTAGTGAAAAGTATTGTGGCTTCATTGGTGGCGCTGTGCGCATTTATGTCCAGCCTGGATTCTTGCCTTTTGGGAGGGGTGAAGAGGGGGCAGTGCAATTTCACTGCTAACCACTGCTGCAGTGATGATCTGTCATTTTCAGGAATTGTTTCAGTACTTTAATCTGAAGTCCCCTTCCCTCACATACCTGTGGAGCTGCTGGGTGATATTTGAGTAGTATCCGTTCCTTGGTCAGTCTTTTCATCTCTCCCGTTTTGTTCTTGCCTTCTCTATAGTTAAGCTTGTTTATTACGTCTTGGATCCCATTGCAACCTTCTTGCTTCAATATAGGGATGAGCAACCAGACTGACATATGGTTTAACGGAAGTTTTCTGCCCCAGAAGGCAGCCTAGCACATTCACAATAATGAGCAAGCATTCTGGATCCTTAAGAGAAGCAGATACGAGCTCTTCTGATTATAGATTCCTTTTTACCACCATTCTGTGGTTACTGTGTGACTGACAAAATGCAGTTTCATGTGATACTCATGAATAACTTTATGTGGTGATCTGTTCACACTTTTGAGGAAGAACTAAAGCCGTAAGACCCAGGAATTCACTGGCGTTTTACCTTTTTTTAAGCAGACTGCTCTACTTCTGGCTTCTCCCCTTTATTTTCCACTTCAAAGTCAGCTTGCTAAACACGTGAGGAAAACCAAGCAACACTTGAGTTGAACACATCTTGACACTGCTTTTGAATAAAAGCATGTTTTGAAGTGTCTAAATCTAGTAAGCCCACAGCATTGTCTGGAGCAATCTCTCCAAGAGATTTCCCACATGGGCTTTAAAGGTATTAATGGTAGAATATCTTACAATCTCAGTTCAAGAACTTAAGCCTTTAAGAAATTCTCCAGCCTCACTGACATTGTAAAGGTTAACTATAAGTGTTTGTTTTTTTGTTTAGCGGTAGCAGCTGAAATTTTTCTGCTATGCAGTGTCAGTGCTCTGTGCTTCAGGGAAGTCAGAGTGTTAATCTTGGGGTTACTGCTATGTCAGCAGAAATTTACATCCAATATTGAGCAGAAAAAGCAGGTTTTCTTCTCCTAGAACTTGTTAAATAACTTTACAGAAGCATTTACCTGTTCACTTCACTTTAATATTCTCAGAGTTAGGAATGCAAATGATCACTCCCAGGAAGAAAACTTGTGGGCTACTGAATTATGGTGTTTTTCCATTTCCGTTCTGATTTCTTGTATGATAAACATATCCACAGACTATAAATAGTTTGTTCTCCACGTTGAATTAATTGTAAGCATTTACAGTAGGGAATCAGCAATAGAAGCCTCTGTTATCCCGCAGCTGTCAACACAGTGTCACTAGAAAATAAGCAGAGCTGTATGCTGTTGGGGATTTTAAAAGGCCTTTTATTATTGCTTCAAAATTGATATATTTGATAACTATACCTTGTCATTCTCTTGTGCATTTGTGTGGAAATAGGAACAGAGTGGGATGCTTTTAGCAGTCTCATTATCTGGCAACTGTTTATAAATGTTTGATTCGCAATTTTCTACCTCAGGCAGGTCCTGGGCTAACACCCAGTGTAGCCAATGGGAGGCTTCACATTGATTTTCAGGAATATGGGATCAGGCCAACATCAAAAGTTTTAATTTTTTCCTTCTATTCCAGAGACAAATCCTTAAAGTGTTAAAATATTAACTAAGAAGAGAACTTAGCAGAATGTTTGTAGCAATATATTTTCAATTAAATTTTATCTCACTGAACCAATGAAATTCTTCTTAAATTAACCCATCCTGTGTAACTTAAAAATAATTCAGTGAAATTTTGCATGAGCTTTTCTGCTGCTAAGGTGGCTTGATTTTGTGATGTATATTCCGCTTTGCTAATCAAACTTTTAAATGCAATTGGTTGTTTATGATGAATTACATTAACGCTTGTGGTTCTGTGGTTGGCAGAAAGTAGCCCTGGTGCCTGGAAGAACCAGCGGGAGCAAACTGTTGTCATGAAGTGTTCAAATAGTGCAATGGCAACCACTGCTACAGGCATCTGGATTGATTTTTGACTCATCTCACGCGTGTGATGATGTGTGCTATTTCTAAGGCAGAAAAAGTGTATAACGGGAGGAATAGGAAGTGACTGATTGTTTCTGTGCTGGATTATGTGATTTCCATCACCTCTAATGATGAGTGGAACGGATAGAACCATGAGATTTGGTACATGGCCTCCAAAAATCTCTGGGGGAGATGGCAGTCTAAGATTAAATTGAAAGTAGTGGCTGGGCTAGCAGGTGGCAAATAGTGCCTTGCAATGAGTTGGGAGCTGCAGAGGTAAAAGGAACAGTATTAGCTTCATCGGCGTTGTGTAAAGTAGCAAGTGCATGAAGATATACAACTGGGAAGAGGCTAGCCTACTTCAGAGTCTGTGTTCCTCTTTGGCCTTCCTCCTTGTACTCACAACACAGTGACTACTAACAGCACATTCTGATGGGGCAAGTTTCAGTTTGTGCTCTGCAGCCATAACGCACTGTAGGATGATAACAATTCTAGTCATGTTCCAGTCCATGAATATTAAGGTATGAAAGTGGTGCCAGTCTGTCATGGGCAAAGGTGAATTGCTCATGGGTAGAGACATCAGCCAACCCAAGCATACAGACTATGAGTTGTTTGTTGGATCTGTAAAAAGCAACAGTGCTGCATCTGCATTGTGGAATGATGTTACTGAATAGATTTGCTTGTCTTCTACTATGCTGTCACTTCTATTATTGATCATACTTTTGCTTTCCTCACTCCTAATTGCCCAATCTTGTTTAAAGGTATATTGAAACTACTTTCTCTTAGGACCAGAGCATCTTAAAGAATTAAAACCTGTAACAGAACAAAAGGAGTAGCCAGTTACACAGGCAAAACTGGAACTTCGCCAATTTTGTAAGTTACAGGATGTCAACCTGCGATAACGCAACTGTAGGACAGACCTGTGTCTCTTTCTGAGGTCCCAAAGTTCCCAGTCATGCAGTGATCACACTCAGTAAAAATGGGTGAGAACAAGTCTAGGCAAAGGTAGGCTGATGTTCAACTGCCTACTCCTCTTTTTCCTGTGAAGACTTTAAAAAGTAAGGAAGTCCCCAGACAAATTGAATTTTTCATAGTTAAAAACCAAAAGCAGCCCCCTGAAAGTGTCGAACGTCAACTATGGCAATAGATCCCTCTCCAGACTATATATACCTGAGCTAATTTCTTCTTCTGTCCCTTTGGGAGCTGCGCTACACCCCTGTTCTCCATATTTTGTCATGTTATTCTTCATACTAGTCTGTGAAAACCAGGACATGGACAAAGCTTCCCCCCTTCTTCAGTATATCTTCTCTGTTAAAGCTTTCAACATTATATGTTTTAGTGTCCCTGTAGCAGGTTCAGAGTATTCCAATACCGGCCAGAAGATTCCTCTATGCATGGTCCTCCAGTTCACTCTGGCAGTAGAGATGTCCACCCATTTGCTCATTTACACATGAAGAATAATAACAAATAGAGAACTGTCTGGGAGTGGCCACAGGAAACCACAGCATCTGGACAGTAACCTTTGAAAGTAACATATTCTCCCAATTGCTGCCATTTACCTTATACTGACATGATGATTTTCCGTCCACGTACTGTGGAACGAATGAAGCCTAACTGATGAATTTCTCCTGCTATCGTATCCCATTCATGATCTGGTGTATGAAGGTTCCCAGTGCAACAGAACATGGATTATTGTTTTTCAGCTGAGAGCTCTCTAACTCTTGGCTTCCTCTTCTTCCTCTTTTCTCACTCCTACCCTACTTGTACCAGACAGTTTTGTTTCTTTCTCATAACCTCACTTCATCTGTGTTTTGCCTGGAACTGTGGTAAGATTGAAAAATAGTGACCTTAGTGCAGATTAGTGACCTGCATCTCTCTCATTGCAAAAATGAGGAAATGGGCTTTCCCCTGCCTCCACATCTCAACTGGCAGTTCCTCTGCTATAAGGGAATCCCCAGCAGAGGAAAAGCCAAATCTTCTGGTGTCAGCACCCTTCATATAGTAAGAAATACAAATCAGAGAGAGAGGCTTATTAGTGTGTAGTGTTTTCTATCCACTTTAGTTGGCTATTACTGTGTGGTTGACTTTAGTGTTGTCTTAACATCCCTGGGACTGTGGCCAAAATAGAATGAACCAGAAAGTACTGGAACCATAACGGGCCACTTTCTGCTAAACTCAGCAGAAGCTGAGCATAACAGAGAACTGGGGCCTAAAAAGGAAGGAAATTGCTAGCACAGATGTTTAATGTGTGGTTGCAAGTAGCAGCCTCTTCCCTTTAATGTAACTTGTATCGTAAAGAATGTCAAGATGCACATCATCCAAGAGCATCTCACACTCAGTGCTGGGCCCTGGAAATATGGTGATAGAGCAATGGTGTAAGTTGTAATTGCTCCATTTTCATTTGAATAAAACCTATTGATCCAGGGAAGAGCATATGCCAAACCTCAGGAGGAAAGGCAGAGCTGACTTTAAATAATTCAGAGCATTCCACACTTTTTTTTTTCTCTTTCAAATAATGGGACCAAATTCATTTCTGGGCTGCCTCCAATGGCTTGAAGAGAATTACACCGTTACTATCATACATTATTTGTGTGTTTGGCACTGTATAAGATGCACCAGGAATGACTAGTCCATTATGTCTCTGGACTTACAGTTTTGAACTTGAGAGCCTGAAGTTAAGCACTGATTGCAATATTGCATAAAAAGAATGTCTTGAAAAATCCCAAGAAATAGCCATGGTATGTATTTAGGGTTATATTTAAGTGCTTAATTTTGTGGCATCTCAGTTTGCATTCATTGGCTGTAGCTAAAAATTATTGTGATGGTCCCATGATGATATAAATGAGATTTTCTGGAGCAATTTTTGATCAACAAGAAATTTCTTATTTATATCTTTACTTAGCAAGCCATTCTGCAGCAGTTCAACATATGCTGAGGTTTATTTGTCAAAGGTAGTGCTGGCTATTTTCCGCCTTCTTCTCCTGTGCCCTTTCATGAATATGGAAAATGTTTTAGTTCTTGATATTATGAAAGAACGTCTGCCTTTGATAAACGACTTGCTGCAGTATGCGTATCTAATACAATATAGTGCAGTCCTCTGCAGTCCACTAAACTCTAGCAGAAACCTCACAGCAAACAGACTAGCTCATGCACTCCCTTCACAGAGGGCTGCATTTTATATGTACTATATGCTATACAGTGCAGGAGCTCAAGTTTCATTGCCTTATCAGGTAAACAAGCAAAATATGTATTCTGGGTTTGTTATCTTTTCTTTTCTTCTTTGCCCAGAATGTTTTTAAATGTGCAAAATAACTGTCCACCGGTTTGCAACATTTAACGTCTTTCCATGCAGATCATCTGTAGTCAAAGGTCTTGGCATTTAAACAATTTTTCTGTTGTACAGATGATCTCTGTGTGTCCATTTAAAAGACTCCTTAGATTTGTAGAAGGATTTGGCAGCTCTGAATGTGCACAAAAATTGAGTAGCTCCATTTAGACCCTTCACAGTAATGACAAAATAAGCCAGATACACAGGTTTTTCAGCATGTGTAGCACACATTAACAATGTTTCCCTGGGCTTTTGTTTCTACAGCCAAAACACCCTAAT